TAATGAGAGAGAAATAAATGCACTGGGGAAAATCAGCTAAATGAAACATTGGTTCTTTGAAAAGATTAAGAACATTGATAAGGCTTTAGTAGGATGATTCAGATGAAAAAAGAGAGGGCACAAACAAGCAATGTCAATCATGAAAAGGGAGATATAATTATGATGTTGTGGACCTTGAAAAGACAATGAGTGTATTTTTAACTAAATCATGCCAATAAATTTGAAACTTCGCATGCAAATAGACAACTCTTTAAATAATATAACTCACTAAACTAACATGAGGAGAACTAAAATATGTCCTATAATCTTTTTTTTTAATCCTCACCTGAGGATATTTTTCCATTGATTTTTAGAGAGAGTGGAAGAGAGAAGGAAAGAGAGAGAAATATTGATGTGAGAGAAACATCAATTGGTTGTCTTCTGCACATACCCCAACTAGGGCCCCCGGGCTGGGAAGCCTGCAACCTAAGTAAGTGCCCTTGACTGGAATCGAACCCAAGACCCTTTGGACCCTTTGGCTCTATACACTGACCCAAATTGGCTGGAGCTGTCCTATACCCTTTAAGAAATTAAATCAGAAGTCAAAAATCTCTCACTCTCAAATCCCAGATAAATTAGCTTCACTGGCAAATTCTACTGAACTTTCAGTAGAGCCAGTAGTGATACCATCATACTCAAAGTTTTTCAGAATGTATAAGTCTTTTATAACCATAATTTCTGAAACCTGAGAAGAACAATGTGAGAAAAAACATTCAGGCTAATATCATTCATGAACACATATGCAAACTAGTTAAACAAATAATTAGCCAATGGAATCCAGCAGGTTAGATTTAATTCAAGAGTGTAAAATTGATTTGTCATTAGAAAATTAAAATATACCACAGTAACGAATTGGGGAAAAAAATACATGAGCATCTCAGTAGATACACACACAAAAAGCATTTGACAAAATTCAACATTATTTTATGACAAGAACACTCTTTGCAAAATAAGAATAAAAGAATAGTCTATTAATCTAAAAAAGTTATCTGCCAAAAACAACTATAGCAAATATTCTATGTGTGAACTGCTGAATGCATTCCTTTTGAGATGGGGATGAGATAAGAATGCCTGAAATCACAACATCTATTCAACATTGTACTGAAGGTTCTAGTTGTGCAGAAAAGCAAGGAAAAGAAATCAGAACGGTTGGAAAGAGCTGGAGGTAACCTGTGTCACAGTGGTTGTCTCAGCAGAACAGTAGAACTATGACTGATGTACATTTTCTTATTATATTTTTTATACTTTCAAGTTTTTCTATATTAAACACATTGCTTTCAGAATCATTAAAACCTTATGGAGTAAAAAATGAAAATGACACCTCTCTCACAAAATGTGGGAACTCAGTAATCTCTGCACTTCCTCTGATGGGCTTCCCTACGTCATTCCAGTGCTTTTCACTGTGGCTACCAGAAGTTAATTTCTGGAGCACAAGGTATCCCAGGATTTCAGAATAGACCCTGATAAAAATGAAATCAAAACCACTGACTTGGTTCTTGGACATGAATAGTATTGCCAAGTCCTTGATTTTTCTGCTCAAATGAGAACTGTCAGTTAGAGAGGGAAAGGGACAGAAGGGGCAGAGAGTGATGAATTGAGGTGTCTTGCAGTCTCTCTAGTTTGAATCACAAGATACCAAGAATTTGGAACTGTAGATATCTTTTGCAGGTCATCTACAAATGTTCTTTCTCTGATTTAAAGTTATAATTGGAGGAAGTTAACTGTAAGGCAATGGGAAGTTATAGGGGAGGAAGGGAAGCCAAAACTATAACCTAATAAATTAAGAGGTTGGGCTCTGACATCCAACTTATTCATTGCATGACCTTGTACAAGTTACTGAATCTCTCCATGCCTCAGTTTCCTTCTTCACTGGGTTGTTATAAAGATTAAATGAGATAATATATGTGAAGTGCTTAGCACAGAGCCCAGCTCATCAAAAGCACTCAGTGAACAGTAGTTATTCTGCAAGAGGCACTCACCAGCATCAAAGTAGATGCTGACATAGGACACGCAACTGGTGAGCACTCTCCTAGGAGCTTCAAATACATTGACTATTTAACATGGTATCTAATCCTCATAATACCTGGGAATTAAATGTTATTATCCTCAGTTTACATGTTCATAGCATCATTTTCCCCAATAATCAAAAGGTGAAAGGAACCCAAGTGTCCATCAACAGAGAAATGGATAAACAAAATGTGATGTGTTATATATATACACATACATACACAATGGAATGTCATTCACCCTTAAAAAGCAATGAAATTCTGATATATGTTTGAAGACATTACACCAAGTGAAATTAATCTAATGCAAAAGAACAAATGTTCTACAATTCCACTTATATGAAGTACCTCAAATAGTCAAATTCATAGAGACAGCAAGTAGAATAGTGGTTGCCAGGGCTGGGCAAGTGAGGAATAGAGAGTTATTGCTTCATTGGAACAGAGTCTCAATTTGGGAAGATGAAAAAGTTCTAGAGATGGATAGTTGTGGGGGGCCACTGACAAGCACCTCGGGCGTTTTTAAATATGTTGGCTGAATCCAGGGTGCAGGCAAAGCCACGCCCTGGAGGCAGTCCTAGCCAAGAGGCAAGGACAAAGACTCAGTCTGACTTTTCCAGCCCAGGTGCTAGGGGGTGGATCACATTATGTCGCCAGAAACTCAAGGCCCACCCAGATGTGATGTAACTTCCTATTACTTCGAGCATATATTAAACTTACTTCCGGTGTCGGGGGCTCTGTTCATCTATCAGAGGCAGACGCCACACCCAGACCCAGCTTCTCCCTCTGTTTCTGTCTCAGTCTCCTTTTCATTCTTCCTTAACCCTCATCGGGTTCTACTCAAGATTTCTTCAACCCCTGCATTCTCCCTTTCGGTGCTGGTTGCGGGAAGAGAGAACGTACCGCCATAGATAGTGATGATGGTTGCACAACAATGCGAATGTACTTAATGCCACTAAACTGTACACTTAAAATCGTTAAAATGGTAAATTTTATGTTATGTATATTTTGCCACAATAAAGAAATAACACCACTTTAAAAAAAGAAAGAGAGAGAGAGAATCCAACAAATTGATTAATTTCAGAGGGAGTTATGTGTCAGAGAGTTATGTGTCAGGTACAAGTGTGAGGTATCAGGAAAGGAGAATGGAAAGTTCCACTCTTTTTTCATTTACATAAAGTCAAATAACAGGCAGAAGTAATCCATGCTGCTAGAAGTCAAGATAATGGCATCAGTTGGGGGATGGAGGGAGGAGTGACATACAGGTATGGGGGTGGGGGGTTTGCTAAAATGTCTCCTTCCTGATGTGGGTGCTGGTTGAATGGACATGTTCATTTTGTGAAAATTCATTCAAATGTATACTCATGATTTGTGCTCATTTCTCTATATGATACTTCAAGAAAAAATTAATGTAAAAATTCCCTATGCCCACCTCCATCATCTAAATTGACAATAAAAGCATAAGTCCATTGAGGCCTAATTTGGAGGCATCACTTTCAGAGAAATGCCTATCATACCAGAGACTCTTTGGATTTCAAAGAAGGAACACCACTCGTGCTAACTTCATACAAGGGGGCACTATTGAAAGGATACTGGGAGATCTTACCAGTCTGAAGGGCAGGAAGTACTACTGTCCTGAGTGAGAATCTGGACATTGGCAAGATGTATGCTCTGGCTTGTGCCTACATTGATTGTGGCATAGTATGCAAATATCTATTTCAACCATTTTATGAAAGGGACCACGTAACAAGCGTTGTGCTAGGAACGTCACTTTCATTTAGTGCTCAGACTGCTCCCTCACATATGTGGTAGTAATGTTATCCTTTTACAGACAAGTCAACTGGTTCTCAGACCAATCCAGCCATTTTCCCAAGCACACAAAGAGGCGGGGAAGGCCTGGATGTCAAAGTTCTTCCCACCAAGGCAGTGCCTTGTATTAAGGAAGGTACCCCATACCCTGTTCTGTCCCTCACTATTCCCCATCTACCCCAAATGGGCATCCTGTTGAAGAACCACGGCCAAAGCCAGTCTTGCCCCTGGGGCCAGAGAATCCATCACCCGCTGCGGTGGGAGGGAGACTGGCTCTGCACACCAGCTTCAGCAAGGAGGGGAGAACCACCCAAAGCTGGAACTGTAGCGGGGCTGGTCAGCCAGTCCCGCCCAGTCGAGGTTCCCCCTTCTCCCTTTTATCAGGGTCTTGGGTGCGACATGTAGGGACGGGATCCGACGGCGAGAGCCCTCTTCCCTGGACCCAGAAGATCTGGCTGGATCCGGGCTCCAAAGCCACCCCCTCCAGAGTCCTAAACTGGAAGACCTGGGGGGGGTCTCTGGTGACCCCCCCCAGGGCTGAGCAAAGCCTGGCACCCACCCCTCACCATGAACTCGGCCTGGGCGCTGGTTCTGTGCGCCCGTCCAGGTCTCAGCCCGCTCCGCGGCGGGAGCGCTGTTGAGCACCGCTCGCTGCCACCAGCGCCTGGACCGAGAGCAGCAGGGCACCTGAAGGGGTGCCGCCTCCGAGCACCTAGACTCTAGGTGCTAGAGAGCCTTGAGGTTGAGAGAGGAGCGGTTGGGGTAAATCCTAGGAGCCACCGTCAGTCGGATCGAATCATCCCGATTTGTAACTAAAGAAGGGTCCAGGTGCCGAAAGACATCTCCAGCAGGCAGCCCTGGTCCTCGGAGCCCAGGCTGCCCGGTGGGCGAATAGAGCCGAGTTTCCGTCCCGGTCAGCAGCAGCCTCGCCCCCCTGGCCCTCCCGGGCACTGAAGTGAGTCCAGCCTCCCTGCTCAGCCCTCCTGGGCAGCGGAGGGACGAATCCCGGCTGCTCTGAGGATCCGACTGGACCTGGGCAGCCTCTTCCGCTGCTCCTGGGTCTGCCCCCCGCGCGCCCCCACACGTCCTTTTTGTTTCTGAGCTTGCTCTGAACGTGATGTAACGCGGACAGGCTCGCGCTCGCTGTCCCTCTTTCCCACACTAAGTCCTCCCCTCTCCCTCCCTCCCTCCAACGCCTGGAAGTCCGCGCGCAGAGCCGGCACCGCCGCCAGAGCTTCCAGAGCTTGGGGACCGCGACCCGCACTGTTGGCAAAGACAGGCTCTCAGGTCCCACTTCCTGGTTGTCAGGAGGAAAAGCCAGGCTTTCCTCCCAGGAACAAGGGAGAGAGTCGAGGGCACAGCTGCTGTGGAGGTTCCTAAGGAGACTCGACTGGCTTCTCTCCCTGCTCCCAGGAGACTGGAGACAGGAGGAAACCTCAGGTACCTCAGTGACCCCCGCCGGTGGACGTTTATATGAAAGACTGAGGTTAAAATAGTAAAGACACAGACAGACAGACAGACGGACAAAGAGCAACAGAAACAGGGCAAGAGATAAAGAGAGGCAGAAACCAAGATTGTCAGACAGGTGGAGAGCGACCAAGAGTAAGAGACGGAGTTGGTGGGTGGGAAGTGGACTTGGGGATTTCTTTTAACCCGCTGCGGTTTCCTCTGTGACGGAAGACAGCGGAGCTGCTCCCTGGCCAGCAAGAAGCCCCAACCTGGATGAGTGAAAGATGCGGCCTGATGACATTAACCCGAGGACTGGGCTGGTGGTGGCCCTGGTCAGTGTCTTCCTGGTCTTTGGCTTCATGTTCACTGTCTCGGGGATGAAAGGAGAGACTCTGGGAAACATACCCCTCCTGGCCATCGGACCAGCCATCTGCCTGCCAGGCATCGCGGCCATTGCCCTGGCCAGGAAAACTGAGGGGTGCACCAAGTGGCCCGAAAATGAGCTGCTCTGGGTCCGAAAGTTGCCCTGCTTCCGGAAACCCAAGGACAAGGAGGTGGTGGAGCTGCTGAGGACCCCTTCGGACCTGGAGTCAGGCAAGGGAAGCTCCGATGAGCTGGCGAAGAAGGCAGGCCTCCGGGGGAAGCTGCCCTCCCAGGGGCAGGCCGAGGTGCCTGTGGCCAGCTCTATCACTACGCCCACCCCCACGGAAGAAGGAGAATGCCAGAGCCTGGTCCAGAGCGGGCAGCAGGAGGAGACTTCCAGATACCTGGACGGCTACTGTCCCTCCGGCAGTTCCCTCACCTACAGTGCCTTGGATGCCAAGTGCTCAGCCTGGAACAGGTCTGAGAGCCCCGAGCCAGAGGACAGCATCTTCTTTGTACCCCAGGACAGTATCATCGTTTGCTCCTACAAGCAGAACAGTCCCTATGACAGATACTGTTGTTACATCAATCAGAGCCAAGGCAGGTGGGACCACGAGACGATAGTCTAAGCTTTGCATACAAGGGTCGCTGTGCTGATAGAAACATGACTACACTCAGCTCCCGATGGAAGGAAACTACCCGCTCCAACAGCCTTCGCACTGTTAGAGATTGACCTGGTATGTGATGGGTGTGCAAACATCTGGTGCCTGAGAGCCATGTAAATAGGCATGTTGGGGACACATTTTAGGGAGGGGTGGAGAGTGTTAAGGACACTGGAAGAGGCAATGGGTAGGAGAGGAAGCAGTTCCAGTTACTTTTTAACAATTTAAACTATGTTGGATGTTTTGTAAATAACCCAACAAGTGCCACTCAGTACCTGCTGAAAGCAAGGCAAATCTTGAGTGGGCTGCAAAAAAACGGCTATTCATAGGGACCCCGAGTTGCTTTAGGTCTGAAAAAGATTGAAAGAAGAAAAAAACAATGCTTCATTATAAGAAATAATTATCTATTGAAAGCCTTTCACACTTAGTATTTGTTAAAAGAAGAAAAAATCAGGACAGAAAAGCTGCATCCCTCCTTAGGTAGGATGGTTTCTGGAGAAAGGAGAGTTAAAGACAGTTGAATTATGTCATTGCTTCTT